GCCCCGCACAGCCACCTTGGCCCAGTGACCAAGCCAGTCGAGGGCCACAGAAGGCAGAGGGTGAGCGGCCTCTGTCTTCTGTGGGAGAAGAAGCTTGGTATATGCTTATTGAAAATGCTCCAATGAGCCTCGTGCTAGTGGCTCATGCCTGTAATACTAGCCACAAAGAAAGCTAAGATCTAAGGACCATGGTTCAAAGCCAGCCCAGCCCAGGCAGACAAATCTGAGAAACTCTTATCTCCAATTAACTATTAAATAAAAAAAAAAAAAAAAAAAAAAAGCTCAGGTACAGTGCCCGGGCCATGAGTTCAAAAGGAAAAGGAAGAAAAAAAGAAAAGGGCAGGGAAGGTGGCTCAGTGGTAGAGTGCTTGCTTTGCATGCATGAGGCCCTGGGTTCAATTCCTCAGCACCACATGTGCAGAAAAAGTGGAAATGGCACTGTGGCTCAGGTGGTAGAGTGCACGCCTTGAACTGAAGAGCTGAGGGACAGTGCCCAGGCCCAGAGTTCAGGCCCCATGACCGACAAAGAGAAAAGAGAAGAGAAGAGAGGAGAGGAGAAGAGAAGGAGAAAGAAAGAGAGAGAGAGAGAGAGAGAGAAGAAGGAAAGAAGGAAGGAAGGAAGGAAGGGAGGGAGGGAAGGAGGGAGGGAGAGAGAGAAAAGGCTCCAATGAGCACTCAGCCTTCCCTCACCCAGAGCCTCTCTGCCCACCCCCACCCCCCATCCTCCCTCTCCCTCTCCAGCTGCCTGACTTCGTGGAAAGCTCTTCAAATCCCCCAGCTCCCGCCTGGACCTGCTTCTCCCCCGCCCCCCACCTCCCTGCAAGAGTGCCAGGCCCCAGATGGGCTGATCAAAAGTATCCACCCTGCCTTCGGTCGATTGTAAAGGAAAATGCTTTAATTCTTCACTCCAGAAAAAAAGCCGTTCCCACGCTCTTCATCTGAGACCAGGGTACTCCCTCTGATTTCATTCTGGGGTGTCATAAATCTGGGTTGGGGAAGACGCTGCTGGCTTGTCCAGAGTCCCTGCATGAACCCCAAGCCGACCGGGCGCTGCAGCCCCAGACAGGCAGGTTGTTCAGAACATGGGCGGGTGGGCAGCCTGGCTGGAAGGGCAGCCCGGCTGGAAGGCGACCTCAGGCCTGCACCGTCACCCCCTCCCCGTGGCTCCCAGAGTGGCAGCGCAGCTCTCAACACCTTGGAATCACAAAGATCCATTCCTGCGTGAGCCCTGCCTCAGCCTGGCCAGCTGCCTCGTGCCTTGACACCCGGCCCGGGTGCCCAGCGGCAGGGAGCAGAGGGGAGGTGTGGGGGAGCAGAGGGGAGGTGTGGGGGAGCAGAGGGGAGGTGTGGCCAGTGCTCCCGGAGCACTGGAAAGGCAAGTGGCTCTAAGGACTCTCCTGGGCCCCCGGGGACTCAGCCTCTCTCTTTCCAGTTTCCTACCCTCAAAGATGGTGTTAGGGAGGGCAGAGGGGGTCCTAGAGCCCATGGGAATGTACTAAGGGCCCTAAATTGGGGGGGGGGCGCTTGTGGTACTGGGGCTTGAACTCTGGGCTTGGGCGCTGTCCCTCAGCTCTTCAGCTCAAGGTGAGCGCTCTACCGCTTGAGCCACAGCGCCACTTCCGGTTTTCTAGTGGTTTATTGGCGATAAGAGTTTCATGGACTTTCCTGCCCGGGCTGGCTTTGAACTGTGATCCTCAGATCTTAGCCTCCTGAGTAGCTAGGATGACAGGCGTGAGCCACAGCACCCGGCATGAGGGTGGGTGCCATGGAGCAGGAGAGGAGCAGACCCCATGGTGCCGCCTTTCATCTGGGGACAGATGCCCACCTAAAATCCTCCGCCCCTGGGGAGGGAGGGACTGAAAATGTGGAGGGGGAACCCCACGGGGGGGGGGCCCTCAGGGGAGGGATCCCTCGAACTGGAGTATTGTTTTCTTTTCATTCTGATTCTTCGGCTCCCCTCTCCTCCCCCTATAGAAATGAGACAGGCTCACTACAGAAATCCTGGAACCACAGGAAGGATCAAGAAGAAAGGCAGACTTTCAAGGCAGTTCGCCACCCTGACTGAGCAGCTGGGAACATTTTTGATGTCTTTTTTCCCCCGTCTCTTTATGGAGCTGAACTCCGAAGGAAGAAAGGAGTGGGAGGCAGCCAGGTGTGTGGGGTGGGGGCGGGAGGGGGATGGAAGCAGCGAGAGCTCTTGGGGGGAAGCTTCTAGAAGTCGACACAGGGCACTGAGTTAGGGCAGAGTTGAGAGGAAGGGTTTATGGCTGCGGGTAGGCAGGACACAGTGGCGGGGGAGGGGGGGCGGAGGCCAAGGTGCGGAGGTCTGCAGACGGAGCCCAGCCCCTGGCTTTTAAATTGGGAAGTGGCAAATGACAGCTGCATGTGAGAAAGAAATACTAGAGGTCCAATCAGTCTTCCTCACTGCCCGGAGCCCGGCAGGGCGAGCGCTCTACCATTTGAGCCGCAGCCCCACGTCTGGTTTTCTGGTGATTAATGGGAGGTCAGAGTCTCACGGTCTCTCCTGCCCGGGCTGGCTTTGAACCTCAATCCTCGGATTTCAGCCTCCTGAGTAGCTGGGATCACAGGTGTGAGGCACGGGTGCCTGGCTCTTCCAACTCCTTTTAAACACAGCTGCGCATAGCTGCCAACATCTCAGTCCTGAGGACCTGTGCCAGATCTCAGCCATCCTGGCTCCCCCGGTCTTGGCCTCCCTGCAAAACCCACCCTCTGACACAAGTTCTGGATTGCCTCCTCCTCCTCCCTCCTCCTCTTCCTCCACATTGAAGGCTCTGATAAGAGAAGACACTGGATGTTAGCTGTACCTCCCCCTGATTCTGGCCTTGACCCCTGACCCCTGTAGTCTCCTCAGATTACCTTTGCTGTTTGCCAGCTCTGACGTTTCTCCCTTCTTTTTTTTTCTTTTCTTGCCAGTCCTGGGGCTTGAATTCTGGGCCTGGACGCTGTCTCTGAGCCGTTTCATTTAAGGTTAGCGCTCTACCATTTGAGCCACAGCTCCACTTCTGGCTTTTTGCTGGTTAATTGGAGATAAGAGTCTCACGGACTTTCCTGCCAGGCTGGCTTTGAATTGTGATCTTCAGATCTCAGCCTCCTGAGTAGCTAGGATTCCAGGCATGAGCTGCTGGCGCCTGGGTAGCTTTTCTGAACTGCTGGGCTCACAGCTTGGGTCCCGTCTCCAGCTCCACCCACAGCCTCACCTGGCCCAGGTGGTCTTAGTCACGCCCCTAATGTCTCTCAGAGCCCCAGGTGGATCCCCTGGAGTGGGGTGGGTGGAGATTGGGGGTCCCAGGGGCTGGGAGAGGGGCAGAGGGCACCACATGGAAGACAGTCTGAGTGTGGCCTTGGCTGACAGCCTGGATGTCGCAGGTGAACGCCACCAGGAGGGACAACGCTTTCTAGGCCAAGGGAGCAGCAGGAACCAAGCAAGGCCCCAGGGTTGGTGTGGAAGCTTCCAGAAGCTTGAAAGTCGGTGTGGCCATAGGATAGGAAGCAGAGAGGAAAGGCAGCCCAGGTGGGAAGTGCCCTAGTGAGGGGCGGGCTGTGTGGGCAAGGACGCAGGGGGCATGTGCGTTGCCCGGCCCCCTAGCTGCTGGGGAGCAGGCTCAGTGTGTGCTCAGCGCCGCTTTCAGAAAAGTGCCTTTGGGCCCCGTGGTCCTCACTGTGCGTCTTGTGGCTGTCCCAGGAAGAAGAGGGCTCGGTGAACTTCGCTGGGGACACAGACCCCGCCAGGAGCAGCGGTGCCTGCCTGTAATGCCAGCACCGGGGAGGTAGAAGCAGGACATTGAGTTTAAGGCTGACCTGGACTATACATAGCGAGACAAACTTAAAGCAGGAGAATGGCGGGCGGGGTGGGGGTGGGGGGATGCTTTCTTCTCTTGTGAAAGCGCAGAAGCATGTCTCTTCAGTAGAGCATTTGTTGCAATACTGGGCAGAAAGGGGAAAAAAAGCTGTTTTTGTTTGTAATTCTCTGGATTACAAAAGAGCTTCTTCTCCGCAGCCTGTCTCTGGCTGGGCAGGGTGTCAAGTAGTCAGCAGGGAGGGGAGGGGAGAGGGGCCAGGCGGAGAAATGACGGAGAAGTTCAGAGGACTAAGTGGAAGCTTGAGCACTCTGTCAGCAGCCAGCGCCATTCCTCTGCTCTGGCCGCCGCTGCCTGCTCTCAGTTGGAGCCCCCCGGGGTGCCCAGGGGTCAAGGAGCCAAGTCAAGGAGCACTGGTGGCTCATGCGTGTAATCCTGGCCACGCTGAAGGCCGACATCTGAGGGTGGTGGTTCGAAGCCAACCCAGGCAGAAAAGTCCGTGAGACCCGGAACTCCAATTCACCAGCGAATAAAGCAAATGGGAGCGGTGGCTCAAGGGGTAGAGCACTAGCCTTGAACAAAACAGGTTCAGGGACAGTGCCCAGGATCTGAGTTCAAGACACAGAAAAGAAAAGAAAAAAAAGAAAAGAAAAGCCAGGTGCTGGTGGTTCACATCTATAATCATAGCTATTCAGGAGGCTGAGATCTGAGCATCACAGTTCAAAGTCAGCCGGGGCAGGAAAGTCCGTGAGACTGATCTCCAATGAACCACCAGAAAAACGGAAGTGGTGCTGTGGCTCAAATGGTAGAGCACTTGCCTTTAGCTGAGGAGCTGAGGGACAGCGCCCAGGCCCAGAGTTCAAGCCCCACGACTGACAAAAAAAAAAAAGCTCACCCCAGCACCCCGTGGCTCTGACATCTGCCAGATTCGATGCCACGTGAGAGCCCTGGACGGCAGGCTGTTCCCCTTGGATGCCAGCCACCCATGATCCACCCTCCTCATTTGGGGGTCCAGCGGCCAGGCCCTGCTGGGGTGGGAATGGGGCCCTGCCAGGGGGAGAGGCACCCCTTCAAAAGCCACAGTAGCTAAATACTTTCTGGGTCCCGAAGCCTTGCCCTGTGAGGTCCACAAGGCTCAAAGAACAGCGGGGCCAAGCCCAGGGAGGATCAGGATGCACGTACCTGCCAGCTGCAGAGCCCAGGACGCGAGGAGCCAGCCCGGCAGCCCTGAGGCCCACAGGCAGCCGGGCCAGCTCCGGAGGCCCGCAGAGCGGGGAGGACGGCTCTCCATCCGGAGGCCCCTGCTCCTGGACGCGGCACAGCCCCTCCTTCCTCCTCAGCTCCCAGGAGGGGACAGCCCATCTGGTAGCCACAGTTCCCCTTTGTGTCCCCACAAACTCCTCCCCGGCCACCTCCTGCTTCCTCAAGGCCATCCAGTCTCCTCCTCCCCCAAACCTCTCACCTCCTTCTTTCAAATAGAGGGATAAGGGGTGGTCCAGGAGACATCTCCTCAGCCCACTTCAAATATCGCTGAGGGCCAGGTACTGTGGTGCATGCCTGTAATCCCAACTAACTCAGGAGGCTGAGATCTGAAGATCAAGGTGCACGCCTGTAATCCCAACTAACTCAGGAGGCTGAGATCTGAAGATCAAGGTTCAAAGCCAACCTTGGGCAGGAAAGCCTGTGAGACTGCTTTTTTTTTTTTTTTTGAGTCGGTCCTGGGGCTTGAACTCAGGGCCTGGGTGCTGTCCCTGAGCTCTTTTGCCCAAGGCTAGTTAGTGCTCTACCACTTTGAGCCACAGCTCCACTTCCAATTTTTGAGTGGTTCACTGGAGATAAGAGTCTCACAGGGGGGCTGGGAAGGTGGCTCAGTGGTAGAGCGCTTGCCTTGCATGCATGAGGCCCTGGGTTCGATTCCCCAGCACCACATAAGCAAAAAGAAAGAAAGCCGGAAGTGGCGCTGTGGCTCAAGTGGTAGAGTGCTAGCCTTGAGCTGAAGAGCTGAAGGACAGCGCCCAGGCGCAGAGTTCAGGCCCCATGACCAGACCCAAAAAAAAAAAAAAAAAAAGTCTCACAGGGACCTCTCTGCCCAGGCTGGCTTCAAACCTGATCCTCAGATCTCAGCCTCCTGAATAGCTAGGATTATAGATGTGAACCACCAGCACCTGGCTTGTGAGACTCTTACCTCCAATTAACCAGCAAAAAAGCCAGAAGTGGAGCTATGGCTCAAGTGTAGAGCACCAGCTGTGAGCACAAAAGGTTATGGGCAGGTCCCAGGCCCTGAGTTCAAACCCTAGGATGTGCACGCACGCACGCACACAATCACTCTCGCATGCACACACAGGCCACTATTCCTGTGACTTCCCTAAACCTCAGCTCAGCCCATCCCCCCAACCGTGAGACACTGCTGCTTCCCCACCCCCCTCCCGGCTCAGCCTTCTGCTTCTGCCCTGGCTCTGAGCGACAGAAAGCAGCAGAGTCGACTTCCAGCCCGGCCCCGGAGGCGGCTAAATGCCAGGCTGCTGAGAAGCGGAGCCGTGGGTGTCCGCACGTGCGCGGGCCTGCACCTGCCCAGGCGCCAGCTCGCGGCTCCGGCTGCCGTGCGGCGCTGGCTCTGCTCTGCCTCCCAGGTGACAACCCGCAGCCGCAGCCGACTCAGCTCCAGAGGAGCCTGGATCAGGCCTGTCCATACCTCCCTCGTGGCTCCTGCCATGGCTTGGTGCCGGGTGCAGGGAGTTGCACCAGTGGTGGAATGAGAACATGAGATGAGGGCCTTCCTTCCACAGTCTTGCAGCCGGGCTCCGTGGGCTGTCCGGAGTCCAGGCCTGGGGCAGGGGACACATGCCACTGCAAAAGGTACGACTGCAAAAGGGAAGCGGAGGTGCTGAGTATCTAGGCAGCCACACGGGAGGCTGGGGAGGCCTGGGAACGGAGTCCCGCAGGCCCAGGCTGTGTGCACATGACCTGGAGTCCCAGCTGGTCTCCGAAACCCACATGATCAGCCGGGCGTGGTGGCTCACACCTGTCATCCTAGCTTCTCAGGAGGCTGAGATCTGAGGATTGCAGTTCAAAGCCAGCCCAAGCAGGAAAGTCCGTGAGACTCTTATCTCCAATAAACTACCAGAAAACCGGAAGTGGCGCTGTGGCTCAAGAGGTAAAGCACTCGCCTTGAGCTGGAGAGCTGAGGGACAGTGCTCAGGCCCAGAGTTCAAGCCCCATCACCAGCCAAGAAAGAAAAAGAAAGAAAAAAGAAACCCACGTGATCCACACGGCAGCTCGGCACATTTAGAAAATCCCCTGTGCGCTCAGGCCGCCCTCCCTGCCTCCCTCTACCCAACCCCCTCCACCCCCCCCCCCGCCCCCACTGCCCAGTGGCCGTCCAGCTGTGGACTGGCTGGGTCAGATGCCATTTAGCTTTCCTGCCCCAGGGCCAGGCCCTGGAGGCTGAGTCTGTTGGCCCGAGTCCATCCATCCATCCATCCATCCATCCATCCATCCATCCATCCTTCACTGCTAGCCGAGTGTCTGCTCTGCCCCGCCTATGATCCCCCCTCCCTCTCCCCCTCCCCCCCTCCCAGAGGAGGCAGAAGAGGGAGGCCCTGCACCTGGAGGGGTCAGGGCAACCCGGGGCAGCCACAGAGGCAGGTGTTCAGAACCATGGCTGCACCTGGCCCAGGGCTTCAGCTGCTAAACCATCCCATCCGCCCTGACTCTCCTAGGAGGCAGAGCTAACTATTTCCATTGTACAGCAGGGAAACTGAGACTCAAGAAGGAGAAGAACCCAGGGTGAAGGAAGGAAGCACCCAGGAGGACTTCTTGGAGGGGGTGGCAGTGGAAGGGGGAGGAGGTGGAGCTCAGCTGTGCCCAGCGATCCAGACCTCCGGCGCGCAGACTAAAACAGGAAGGGCTGCAGGCCATGGCCTGACCATTCATTGATTTACTTATTTATTTAGTGTTGGTCATGGGGCCTGAACTCTGGGCCTGGGCGCTGTCCCTCAGCTCTTCAGCTCAAGGCAAGCGCTCTACCACTTGAGCCACAGCCCCACTTCTGGTTTTCTGGAGGTTCATTAGAGAGAAGAGTCTCACGGGCTTTCTGGCCCGGGCTGGCTTTGAACTGTGATGCTCAGCTCTCAGCCTCCTCAGTAGCTAGGGTGACAGGCGTGACTCCTGGCGCCTGGCTGTGAACATCTATTAAGTGTCTTCTGTGTGCCTTTCCGGCAGCACTGGGGTGGCGGCAGGTTCACAGGGAGCGCTAGTGCTGGGGGTGGGACCCCTCAGCTTTGGTCCAGGCTCTTCCAGGCGGGGGTGGGGGCGGCTGGCGGTGAGAACAGAGCAGTGCGCACTGCCCAGAGCCCAGAGGCCCCCGTGCCCTCCTCCCTCTCCCTCGGCACCCCCACAGTGGGGAAGGCAGCCCATCTAGGACCCCCAGTTTTGTATTTGGGGGTCCCCTTCCTATCCCGTATAGCAGCCCTCAGTTGGGGGGTGCTGACCACTGGGCCAACATGCTTGATCTGACCCCTGCCCACCACAGGCCAGGCGGGGACCAACCCTGAGCTGACCTCTAGCTGAGCTGGCCCTCGGCAGAACAGCTCCTTTCCTGGGGCAGGGAAGCCCATCCGGAAGTCACCACCCTGCACGTGGGTGGGAGGGGCCTTCTCTGGGCAGGAAGCTACCCTGTGTTTTGCTGGTGTGTGTGTGTGTGTGTGTGTGTGTGTGTGTGTGTGTGTGTGTGTGTGTGTGTGTGTGTGTGTGTTGGGGCCAGTACAGTGGCTTGAATTCAGAGCTTCACATTCTTACTTGGCTTTCTTTCTTTCTTTTTTTTTTTTGGCTCAAGGCTTGAAACACACCTCTAAACCCAGCTTTACTTCTTGCTGGTTTATTGGAGTTAAGACTCTCATGGACTTTTCTGCCCTGGCTGGCTTCAAACAGTAATCCTCAGATCTCAGCCTCCTGAGCTGTTAGGATTTCAAGTGTGAGCCTGAGCGGCTTTTCTGCTGTTTCTTAGGCATTCATCTCAGATAGGGTTCTAAAGGACAAGCTCTCTGTGGAGGTATATCACTGCCCCTAATTTATAGCCAAGAAAACTGAGTTCAGAGAGCACAAGCCACTTACCCCAGGCCACACAGCAAGGGCTCATCAAGACAAGGACTGGGGCTCCCAGGACGCACCCCTGCAGCCCAGATGATTCTCTAGACAGGAAAATGGGCATGCCCTCATCTTAGATTCAGAAAAACAGGGTGCCAGGCACTGGCAGTTCATGCATGTCATTCTAGCTACTCAGGAGGCTGAGATCTGAGGATCTTGATCCAAAGCCAACCTGGACAGGAAAGTCTATGAGACTCTTACCTCCAATTAACAAGCAAAAGAAGAAGAAAGAAAGGAGGAGGAAGGAGTGGAGAAAGAGAAGGAGAAGGAGGAAAAGGTGGAGAAGGAAGAAGGGGAGGAAGAGGAGGAGGAGGAGGAGGAGGAGGAGGAGGAGGAGGAGGCGGTGGTGGAGGAGGGGAGCTGTAGCTCGAGTGGTAGAGTGCCAGCCTTGAGCAAAAAAAGCCGAGAGTGTGAGGGCCTGAATTCAAGCCCTTGTACTGTACAAGGACGCGGGCCAAGCCTTTCTCCTCCGGGCCCTGGTGCCTCAGGCCTGCTACTTGTTACCCTGAAGATCACGAGAAATAACAACCAGGAATAGACAAAGCTAGCATCCTCCTCGACACTTGCAGGCTCACCCTGGGTTCTCCTCTGTGTCCCTGACCTGGAAGCTGGGGGTCCTGAGGAGCCGGTGTCAGAACCACCAGAAGCTGGGGGTCCCGGGAAGGCCTCAGAGCCACAGGTCCCAAAACGGCACCTGCTACCCGGCCTGCTGGACAGCCGGGTTGTCCTGGGCCGCTGGCGCCACCTGGTGGCTGATGTAGGAACCCCCCACAGCAACCTCCCTTCCTCCCCTCCAGCGGGGAAGCTGCGGGCCGCCCCTCCTGAGCTGGGGCCAGGGCCTGAATGACGGCCCGGTCTCCGTGGAATCAGAGGTCTGGGGCCACCAAGCCCTGAACATTCTGGGCACTGTGGGAGCAGGGGCGCTAGGTGAGGTCTCTGCTCCCAGCTGCCCCTGCCAGGGGCCTTTCCCTCTCCAGTGGGGAGGAGGCGTTCCAGTCCCATCCTTTCTGGGCAGCAGGGCTCCCCAGGGCGGCTCAGCCAATTAAGGAAACAATTAGCCTCCCCTCAGGTGATGTCAGGCTGGCTTTATCGCCACAGTTCTCTGGTTCCTTGGGACACGTGTGCGCGCACGCGCATGTGTGTGTGCATGTGTATGTGTATGTGTGTGTGAGAGAGAGGGAGAGCACT